GCAGGGTAGGAAACGGAATGCTTCCTCCCTAGAATGTTCTACCAATGGCCTCTGAGCCGGTAAAACCGTGAGTCAGTTGAATCTGACCGGCAGCAAGCTGACGTCGTTGTTGGAAGGGGTCATCCAATTGGGGTCACAGCGCTCAGTCAGTGAGATTTAACCGGACACAGCGCTAGGACTGAGCCTTGGTCGGTGAGATTTAACCAGCGGTTTGGGGGTGCTCCCTGGTGGGCAAAGTGGTCTCTGCAAAATTCGTGGGGTGACGCCCGCCGATCACCTAGATTTAGGGGGGGTAGGGGGTAGGTGCAGAGGTGGGGCCGGGGAGGCTGGGGAGGGGTACCAGGAAGGGACGGGGTGTGTTCCATTCCAAAGGAGGCTTGGCCTTAGCTGGCCACTGAGAGAGAGCAGTCAGCTGGCCTTAGCTGGCCACTGACGTTCTAGATAGCAGTTTCTTGTTTGTTCTGGGCCATTCTAGAACCAGCTCCCCTGAGCAATTAAGAGGCTGGGAATGGTCCCACCCCAAGGTCCTGGATGTCAGTCCCCTGCCCTGCCCCCAGCCCTGTCTACCAGCTCCTTTCAATCGAAGTCCATTGCAAATCTAACTAGATAGGGACCCCTGTGATAACAGTCGCCAGGTTTAGAGACCACTCTCTCCCTGACGAAAGTGCTTTGGCGGGGTAGTGGCTTATGCATTGGGGCTGTACAGGTCTGCAGTTCAAAGCCACCAGCCGCTCCACGGGAGACGTGAGGCTTCCTACTCCCTTAAATACCGTCTCGGAAAACCCACCAGGGTAGTTCTCCCCTGTCTTAGAAGGTCGCTGTGAGTCAGAATGGGCTCCCTAGCAGGGAGAAATGAGTCTGCGCTTGTGGAAAGGAAGGAGTCCTGGTGGTATCCTGGGTTACAAGTGGGGCTGCTAACCTCGGGGTCAGCAGTTCGAATCCACCAGCTGCTCTGCAGGAGAAACAGGAGGCTTTCTGCTCCCCTGGCGATCGACAGCCTCAGAAATCCACAGGGCAGCCCTTCTCCGTGAGTCAGAACCAAGTCGACGGCTGGAAGTCGGGTTTGGTTGGAGTATTTCTTGCCCAAGGAGAGCCGGAGAGGAGCACATTGCAATGCACTGGGCTCCTAATAGTCACTTCAAGCCACCCAGAGGCCCCACAGAAGGAGCAGTTCTAATCTGCCCTACAAGTTTAAACTGATTGAACAGCAGTGGGCTTGGTTTTGCGTCCCCCTTGCCCGTCCTGGTGGCGCAGTGGTTAAGCGCTTGGCTACGTGGCCGTCTTAAGGCAGTTCTACCCAGCCCTATAGTGTCTCTTAGCGTCAGAGGGACCTCAGCCGGGATGGGTGGGTCCCTCCTTGGCCCTTGGCCCCTACACGGACTCAGTCACTACCAGGCAGTCAGTGCTGACCCACAGCCACCCCACCACCCCGTGGGTTTCCGAGACTGTCGTTGGTTGGTGGGAGTAGAAAGCACAGTCTTTCTCCGAAGGAGCTGCTGGTGGTTTGGAACTGCCGAAGGAGGGTGTGAGGACTGGCTAAAGAAACCCAGGTGACCTCAACCCGGCCCGTGGCATCTGCACTGGCTGCTCCCGGTGGCCCACCGGCCGCTCCCCCTCGCGGTCATCGTCCCAGGCTGTGCTTCGGAATGGCCTTGTCACATGAGCTCCCCTGCCCCGTCCTCTCCTCCAGCCTCCTCCCCGCTGGGGAGCTCCCCTCCCCCCACCTTGGCTGTATCCCCCTCACGCCGGAAGGACGCCCCACGAGGGTCTACCTGTCTGTGTCTTGCCTCCTGCCATCGCTCCAGCGCCTGGAACACACCCGGTTCATAAACTCGCGTCCCTCTGGCTTCTTTCTGAGGGAGTGCCATCTCCTTCCGCCAGAGGGCAGGCTCGCCCTGCTTTACCCACAGGTAAGCCTGGAGGCAGCTGGGGTTGGAGGGGGCATCTTGAGCGGATCCAGGAGGATGGATGGAGGCAGAGTGGGCTAACCCTCAGGCCAGCATGGGGGCCTAGGGCACTGGGGCAGGAGTCTAACTCAAAACCAAACTCACTGCCACGGAGCCCATTCTGACCCAGTGCTACCTACCCCGCAGGGCAGAAGGGAATGGGTTTCCAAGACTGTCAATTTTGGGCTATAGGAGGAGAAAACCTCATCGTTCTCTGGCAAGAGTGGCTGGTGGCTTTGAACTGCTGACCTTGTGGTTAGCAGCCCCAACTATATCCACCATACCACTGCAGTCTTAAATTAAAATGGCGTGGAGGTGGGGGGCCAGCCCCCACCACTAATCGTGGGTTCAGTAATGCACAATTGTACGGTTGAGGTACATATAAGTATTATATTAAAGTCATTGAGAGCATGAGAGATATTACAATAATGCAGTTAGACACATTACATGGTAGCATTGCTCACCTCAGCCCAGCTTGGTGGTCCAGGAGAGAGGGGGAAGGGAAGGAGGGCAAGGGAACAAGGGAGAGGGGGAAGAGAGGGGAGTGACCAGCAAGGAGGCAGAGAGATCAGAGAGCTCTACATTGCTGACCCACACCTATATACCTTTTGGGGGCATGCCAGCCCACTAATTACAGGTAGAAACATACGTCACAGGGAGGGGCTGCACTATAGGTTACACAGTAATGAGGGGGTGGTCTAGGGGGTGGTCTCTGGGTCTCCATAGGAACCATTACCAGTAGGGTGAAAACTCCACCTACAGGAACCTGTCCATTGTCCCCAGAGGCAGGGAGCAGGGCCCACTGCAGTTTGGCAAGTGATTGCCCTCAGAGGGGAAATGCCTGTGCATCTGACCTCTCCCCACATACCACCAGGGCTCCAGTGGAGGGGGAGGGGGGCAGAGAGAGATCTTTGAACAAAAGGCTGTGACAGGGACCAGACTTAAATTGAGGGGAGGGAGTGGGCCGGAAAGAAGGGTCGGGGCTGGAGACCAGGAGAGGGCAATTGGGTAGGAACCGGGGGAAAGGACCGGGGAGCAGGTCACTAACAAAGGCGTGAGGCTGGAGTGTGTACAATGGAGTGTACAGTTGTGCAGAAGTTCAAGTTGGGGCTATGGGAAGAGGTAAGAGAGGGTAGAGGCCAAGGCCTGGCAGAGGACATGGTGGCCAGAAGGGGGTGGGGCGCTGAGATCAAGGTGACACCCCGTCACACTGAGCCTAGTAAGAGAGTACTGGCCTGTGTCCAGGAGCCCTGGTGGCTGGCGCTGTGGGCCAATGGCAAAGGCACCCGCCAGCAGTTTTCAGCCTCAGAGGGTCGCTGCGAGTCAGAATCAACTCAATGGCAGTCGGGCTTGTGAGTTGTTGGGGTTTTTTTTTAGGGGGGGAGTCGGAACCCTAGTGATGCCGTGGTTAGAGCAGTGGGCTGCCCACGGGAAGATCAGTGACTGGAATCTGCTCTTTGGGTCAGGAGAGAGGCGAGCCTGTCCACTTCCTTAAGTATCCCAGGCTTGAAAACCCAATGGGCCATCTGGCTCTGTCCTATGGAGTCACTAGGAGTCCAAACAGCCCACAGGGAGCCCAGGGAGAGGGAGCTGGGCCCGGGGGAAGGCCCACAGAGGATCCCAGAAGGAATGAGGGTTGACTAAGGGGCTACGGGGTGGGCGCGGGGAGCGCTGAGACCCACAGCAAAGGATGCTGGGTGTGACTCTGTGGCAGGCAAGTGTGGTGGTCTGGTTCAAGGCAACCCTGTCGAGTGTGTGCATTGCCCCCCTGGCCAGCTACCCCCTCTCCCCCACCCTGACACCCCCGCCCGCCCCCGAGACAGCAAGGCCAGACCTTAATGTTGAATTCCACTTTACTGAGGGTCAGAGAGGACAGGACACAAGAAGAGAAACGGAAAAGTGCTAGGGAAAGTCACAAGGAGTTTCCTGCCCATGGCAGACATCCCTAGACCCACAAGCTCCCAGGCACCTCTAGTCTGCTGGCCCAGAACCCTGATTGGTGCTTCCAACCCTTGGGGACCAATCGCCCCGCACACAGCCCATGCCCCCTTGAAGTCTCCTTCTCACTCCTTGCTAGGAGGCGTGGCATGCCTGGAGGCAACATCCCAGCTCCACACCTGGGCATCCTTGTGATGATCATCCGACAGCCACGTGGGGACCTCGAGACACTCTGGGACCCCTGTTCTTTCTGCTGGACGTCAGAGGGCCTCTGGACAGGTGAGCTTGTCACTCCTGGGGATAGAAAAAGGGACACACACACACACACCCAGGGGCAAGTATACTGGGAGCCGGGTGGGGGGAGTCATGAGGTTATTACTGTGGGGACCAGGAGCGCGGCGGGGGTGGGGGCAGCTCACATCACACAAGGGACTGACAAGGCTGAAGCGTTTGCGCTGGGGGGACCAAGGGCCTCTCCTGCCAGGGGACTTGACCTCCTCCAAGACAGATAGGCTGTAACAACGGTGGTTCACCCCAGAGGACCCTAAATGTCCAAATGTCCTGGGGTGGGGTGGGGCGGCAAAGGCAGTGCTGCAGGTGCAACCCATGGGAAAGTGAGGCGCCCAGAGACCCAAGAAGGACCCCTGGCCAATGGGGAAATTGACATTGACTACGGAGACGTGAGCTAACGGCCCAGCTTTGAGAAAACACCGCGGGGGCAGCCCAGGGCCACCATCAGCAGGGTTACTCAGCAGGGTCCTTGCTGTGTGTGAGGGGGCGGGGGCGGTGCCTTCAGCAAGGGCTGGCCTTTTCTTTTTCCTCCTCTCCCCGCTACCCCATCACACCTCTCCCCTCCTTTTGCTCCTCTTTCTGGAACCATCTCTCTTCCGAGTTGCGAAGGGGAGGGGGGTTATTAATACTCTAATGTCAAATGAGCACTCCGCAGAGCCGGAGCACTGTCCTCAGCCCTGATCATAGGGGCGGGAGGGGAGAAAGATGTCCTTGGGATCTAAGTCAGTGTGCCTTTGGAAAGACAGGCACCAAAACACAAAAACAAACTCACTGCCATCATGCCGATGCTGACTCAAAGCGACCCTATAGGGCGGTATAGGGCGGGGTAGAACTGCCACGCTGGGTTTCCAAGACCAGCCTCTTCATGGAGGTAGAAGCCCCATCTTTCTCCAGCGGAGGAGCTGGTGTCTTTGATCCACCGACCTTGCGGACGGCAGCCCACCGGATAAGCCCTAGGCCACCGGAACTCCCCAACAGGCACCAGCCGAACCATAAAGAACTCGCTGCACTTTCTGCCCACGGGTGGCCTGTCCTTGTGTCCCAGGGTACACCTTCCCTGCCACCCAGCGGGCGGCCCAAAGCCGCGCTCACCCCCTCCCATCACATGGGGCACCCTTCCATTCCACCTCCTCTTCTTCCGGAACCCCGCCCGCTTTTCTCCCATCTACTAACGGGGTGGGGGGTGGGGTGGGGTGGCGCAAAGGTTCCCGTGCGCATCCGCAGCACGGCACAGGGGGCGCAGCGCATTAAGCGTGAAGCGAAGACACCCGGCTGGACAGGGGAAGGGGGCTGGAGGAGGATGGGGCGCGCTTCGGGGCCTACTGGGGTGAGGGGGGGCCCCTGCACCCCGCGACTTTGGCTTCCACTAGCGGCACTTGGGGGGCAGCCGGCGGCCCCTGCGCGCCTTCTTGCCGCGGGCGGACCTCGGCTGCGCCTTGGCCTCGCCCTTCGCGTGGGGGCCCAGGTGGCGTTTCTTTTTCTTGGTCCCGGCGCCATCATCTTGCGCCGAGGTCCGGCCCCCCGCCTTCTTCTCCGGAGTGGAGGCGCGGCCGCGGCCCCGACCGGCCGCTCGCGGTTTGCGCGTGCCCGTGGGGGCAGGGGGGGCGGCCGGGGACGCGCCCGCCTGGCCCAGGCTGCGCGCGGCCGTGCGCGCCCGCTTGGCCCGCGGCTTCCGAGAGGCCCGCTCCTCGGGGCCCGATTCCTCCTCCTCCTCGCTCTCCGAGTCTTCGGACTCCTCCTCCTCCTCCTCGTCCTCCGAGGAGGAGGAGGACGAGGAGGAGGAAGACTCCGAGGACGACTCCTCGTCGGACTCCACTATCTCGCGGGCGGCCAGGAGCGCCAGGACCTCGCCCAGGTTGCCCTTGGCGTGCTTGTACTTGGCGCATTCGTCCCACGCGGTCTCTTTTTCTTCCTTCATCGTGTCCGCCATGTCTTGCGCAGCCAGGAGGGCCACCAGCTCCAGGAGGCCCCCCTCGTCGTCCTCTTGGTCCCAGCCGCTGAGGAAGGCTTGTTGGTCCTTCTCCTCCCCGGGGGTCTCCGGCTCGGCCAAGGTGGAGATACATTCTAGAAAGTTCCCCTGGTCCTTGGCCTTCCTCAGGACCACGGCTTCCACCTCGCGGCCCGCCACCTCCACCTTCACTCGGGGGCCCATCGCGTCCTTGGACATGACGGACAGGACCTGGGAGAGGGCCTCCTGCGGGTCCTTGACGCCCCAGCCCAGCGACTCAATCACTGACGCGATTTTCAGCATCTCCTCCCGCGCGGAGGAGTCAGAGGGGTCAGTGTAGGCCGCGATGGCCACGAACTCCGGATTGTCCACATCGTCGCTCTCTTGGTCCTCGTCGTCGTCGTCTTGGGACTCGCTGCTGGACGTGTCGCTGTCTGGGAACTCGTCGGACGCCCCTCTGACGGCCAGGAGCGCCACCAAGTCAGGGACACCTTTCCTGTCTTCGTTGGCATCCGCGTTGATGGGCTCGCTGGAGGGAGGCTCTTTCGCAGTCTCCTCCTTCTTGGCTTTGTCCGTCACGGTCACCAGGGCCAAGAACTCGCGGGGCCCGTCCCCCTCCTCCGCCGGGTTCTGGGTCGCCCACTTCTTCACCAGCTCCTTGGCGGCCGCCTGGAGCGTGGAGTACAGCGCCCTCCGATCCTCATCTTCGTCCTCGTCCAGCTCCTCGATGAAGATTCCCAGGCTGTCGTCAGAAGAGTCCGAGGACTCGCTCCTGACCGGCGTCCACGGCCGCCCGCCTCGGCCTCTCTTCTTGCCCTTCTTGGTCAACCTACTGCCCCTGACTCGGCTACGGCGACCCTGCCGACCCCTATGAGCCTTCCTGTCTGCACAGGTGGGCGGCCCGGCGGGCCTGGCCGCCTGCCCCGACCCCTGGGTCTGGGTCTCCAGAGCGCCCGAGCTGGCCAACTCCTCCAGGGCCTTGACCACCTGGCCTCGCGTGGGTCGCTCGTCCAGCAGCAGGCGCTTCATCTGCCTCAGAACTCGGGCGTCCTGGGCACGGTCCTTGCGCTGCACTTTCCAGACCCCGTTGGGGCCCAGGACCTCCCTGGGGACGGCGGCGTGGTTGAAGTCCTCCAGTAACTCCACCAGCACCGCCCTGGCCTTCTCCCTGCGCACCACGCGGGTGCTGCGCAACCGGTAGTCGCCCAGGGCCTGGAAGGCCGGCTGCAGGACCGCCTCGACGGCTGCCTGGTCCAGGCTCTCGGGGATGCCGGTGACCAGCAGGGCCCGGCGCACGTCCACGCCCATCCCGCGGCACCAGTCGTCCAGGAGGCTCAGGGCCATGGCGCGGCCGCTCGGCGCACGGGCGGCGGCCAGGAGCCGGCGGGCAGAGCGGACGGCAGACGCGGGCGCGGGCACGGCGCACTCAGAGGCCACCGGAGCGCCACCTGCAGACTGAGAACGGAGATGCAGGTGGTCAGGGCAAGGGGGCGGATCGAGGGGTGGGGGTCGCCCGCGGCCGCCCCCGGGGCCCCTCCCCCGGAGATCGGGGACCCTCGGGGTCTTACGTGTCTGCGCTCTGGTCGGGCTCCGGGGAGGTGACAGCCCGGCTCCGGAGCGGGGTCCCTGGGGGAACTGGGACGGCCTCCCGCTGGCCTCTGTCACCGGCCC